AGGGACTTCACATACTTCATAGCATCTCTTAGAAAATCATCATACACCACAGGGAAAATAATAAAACAACTCTAAACTATGATTAGCACATTCACTGGCGGAAACAAGTTGGGTAGGGGTGATTGGTTACTCAAGAGGGGGATTCATTTGAACTGATTGGTTTAAGCCAAGAGGGGTGTTCACGCTGAACTACATGGTTTCCCAACATCATAAACTACTGGGAGGGTCATCTGGCATCCCAGGTATTTCCCTGTCTCATGCTGATTGGTGGCTGCTAGGGGGTTGCTATGGGCCCTCACCTAGCCTGACTGAGTCAGGGACACCTGGCTCAGCAGATCTCTCCTGTTATTTGTAGATAAACAACTCAGCAGGGTGGGAATGTGCCTAGGAGTGCTCTGTAGTCTTTTCCAAGGACAAAGGTCATGCCCCTTCCTTGACAGGCTTTGCTTTGAGGTAGAGGCTGGTTTTTCACTGGCCTCTCAGGCCAACATCAATATGACAAAATATAATTTCAGTCCAAACTAAGGACCTAAATTTAGGGTCAAATAATTCAATTTGCAACAAAAGGGGCAAGTTCTAACTAAGCCACACTATGGAATAATAGTTTTCAAATTTTTTATTCTCAGCATCCTTTGCATTCTTAATAATTATTGAGAATCCTGGAAAGCTTTTGTTTAAAGAAATTTTATGTATTGATATTTATTGTTCTAGAAATTAAAACAGAACTTGGAAATTTTTACTTATCAATTCATTTAAAAAGAAAAATAAACCAATCACATATTAATATATTTTATTTTAAAAACTTTCTAAAAGATTTAGGGATGGGAGTGACCTTCCTTTCCATTTTTATGACCCTTCAGGTGCATTTTGTAAGGTTCTGCATTCAGTCTGATGCAATACAGTGTCTTGTTGCCTCACTTGAAGTATGTGAAGAAAATCCAGCCTCACACAGATGTGTATTTGGCAAAAGAACATTTTTTGAGCGGGGAAGGAATACCAGAGATCGAATGCAGGGGAACTTAACTACTGAGCCACATCCCCTTTTTATTTTTTAGTTCTTTAAAATTGTTGATAGACCTTTATTTTATTTATTTATATGTGGTGCTAAGAATTTAACCTAGTGCCTCACACAAACCAGGTAAGTGTGCTACCACTGAGCCCCAACCCGAGCCCCTTTATTTTTTGAGACAGGGTCTTGCTAAGTTGCTTAGGACCTCAGTAAGTTGCTAAGGCTGGCTTTGAACTTGTAGTCTTCCTGCCTCAGCCTCCTGAGTCACTGGGATTACAGGCATGTACCACCACACCTGGCAGGAAATGGACATTCTTGATGTCATACCAAAACTTGATAAGTGGTAGTTTCTTAAAAGTTTGAAACCATATTGGGAACTTTTTAAAAAAAAAAAATCTATTTATTTGTGGATGAACACACAGTATCTTTGTTTATTTTTATGTGGTGCTGAGGATCAAACCCAGTGCCTCACACATGCAAGGCAAGTGCTTTACCACTGAGCCCCAGCCCCAGCCCCATATATTGTGAACTTTTTGTAGTGTTATATTAAAATCCATTGGCCTGTGACAGAAAGATTAATTTTTTTGTCATTGGCAACAGGTTCTGTCAGTTGTTTTCCTTGAAGTGACAGCCTTACCTCATTTTTGAGAAGATGTCTGCCAAATAAGGGAGTCTGAATAACCAGGTTGTCGATCTTTGTCTCAACAAAAGATGGTGAGTCAAGCAGGTATTTGGCTCAAATAATTGTGTTCAGTGTTTTTCTCCAGGCAACCATGGTATTTATGTGTGCAGCACCCGTATTTCCTGTCCACAGGATTCCTCCCTCACATCAATCCTACCAAATCGTCCCCTGTCATTGTAAAAGAGTGCTTGTTTTGTCTGCTCTGGAGCTCAGATTAATTCCTAACCCCTAGAGAGAATAAATGGACAGAGGAACAGGACCATTTCAGGAGGCTGGGAGGAAGTGTGCATTGCAGCTCTTGGTAACCTTTGCTTTGGGGGAAATCCTCTGCATCAAGATGAACTTCCTTGGGGCAGTCTGTGAGTGGCACCAGTGACTTCTCACTGAGCAGTGAGGGTCAGTGTTCCCTCCTCTAAAGCAGCTCCTAAGCACTTCTGATAAGAAGACTTAGCTAAGAAATCATGACCACCTCCCGACACCTCACTACTAGAAAATGGAAAAACAAAACAAAACCCAAGGAAGGTGAGACATGAGTTTCCTGGTAGAGTCGTTCTTCTGTTCAGCAAACCCTAGAGCTCACTGCCCCAACAGCAGGCACACAGCTGGCTGCAATGGCCAAGGGGTTCACTTTCTGGTGGGGAAGGTATAAAGAGAGGATCACAGGCTCATCTCTTGGGGAAGAGCATGGCCTGCAAATCTCTGCATGATTGGGTCCTGTGCCCTGTCCCAACCTCATCCCCACTCTATCCTTGTTCTTTCTGCCCACCATCGTGTCTTGGCCACACTGAATGACATGGGAGTACTTGAATAAGTGGTACTATTTTGTGCTTTTACCCCTCTCCCTAGTTAGCAAGGACTGCCTGTGTTGCATCTCTGGCAGCAGATTTCCATCTGTGGCAGAGCCTAGCTGGAAGAAGAGGAAGCCTGAACCTAATTCAGTTCTGAAATTTTATCTTTACTTGAGACTGGACATTTCACTTCATGAATTGAGGCTGTTTTGTGACTTAAAGGTAATCATAGCTTCCTGTTTAATCTAAGATTGAAAATTTTGAGGCTAGTCCTAGTTTTCACCCAGGGTCAGGGAGAACTAAAACCTCCAGAAAAAATATGAAGGAATAATAGGAGAAAAAAATAAATATTGTTATGATAAGATGCTAAGAGCCACATTTGTTTCCAGGTACCCATGCTGGTCCTTCCCTTGACTGTGATTCCTTCCTGTCTGGAAGAAAGAAGGAGGAAGGAGAGGAATTAATCAATTAAGATCGAGTGGCACAGGGGTGGGAAAGAAACCTTGGGCAGGGCAGGCTCTGTCCAGGGAGCTTAAGTTCGTGGCAAGACTCAAGTCGCAATGTTGCCCCAGGAATCGGCCTCCAAACTTGACAGGGTCTCTCAAAGGGGGACTGGGAGACTTCAGTGGAGCTGCCCCTCACCATACAGAAACTTTCTAATGCAAATGAACCCCAGAAGGTCAATATAACTGCAAATAAGTATCAGCCAGGTGGAGATGACAGACACCAGATCCTTTTCTGATGGCACTGTGCTCCTCCAGCAGACACCAGAGAGAGGAAAAGGGAGCCATTTAAAAGGAAAGGGTCATGACCAAAGATAAGGGGGAAAGGAGGCCACCTGGCTGACTGCCTGTCTCACCGCCCACCGGATGTGCACGCAGAATGCAGGTAATGCAGAAAACGAGGTTGACAGGTCAGGAAATGCACCCCAAATGCACTACTAAATGTCGGAGCTGGGACTTAAATTCAATGTGTCCAGCTCCAAAGTCCATTCTAGCAGGCCACAGTGCCTGGCTCTGGGTCAGCAAGCCCTCGTGTTCATTTTCTTCATCTTGTGTGCACCTAAGAACTGGGGTCCTGGGTGATTTGCGTACCCGTGCACACCATCCCTGCAGGGCAATTGGGTGCAGAGTCTTAGGGCAGTGCTCAGGTAGGCTGCTGTGGGGGCTGGAAGAAGGTCTCCAGGCCTCACCCAGTGCCCTGGCCACCTCTGCCCTGCTGTGTACATCCTGTCTTCCTATCCTGGGGCTTCCATCTGCCTTCTCAGGCATGTGCCCCACATGGCAAGGCTCACCACCTTCTCCGGCATCACAGGACTGCTGGAGAGCAGCCAACACACTGTTAACCAACCAACCTGTCACATCTATATGTACACAACCTGTCACATCTATATGTTACTCCCTCACAGGCCAGTCTCATGCTGGAGCTGGGGACCCCTTGTCTAACACCTGGGAGAGTTAGCACACCTAGATCAGGCATCAACCAGTGAACTGAAGGCCAAGGAAAAACCCCCGAGTCAGTCAAGGGCAAAGGATACCCTCCCTCTGGTGATCTTCACTCACATCTCTCCTATTGGTGAAGGGCTTAGAATATGACCACCGGCTACTGTGATCATGATATTTTCTACAGCTTATCACAACAGGTCCCCCAGCTTCTGAGGCGTTGAACAACACGTGTGGGGATGGGGGTTTGGTGCCACTTTGGGCTTGGTCCGAAGGCCCTCAGCCTGTCCTCAGCTGCTGCAGCAAATCTAACATCAGAAACTGTTGTCCAGCAGCAGGACCAGTGCCTGGTTATCTCCTCTGAAGAACATTCCCTCCTGGACAGCCCATGTCTGACACCCGTCTAAGTCCTCAGCACCTAGTATGACAGCACACAGCAGCGGCATGACCCGTGCTTTGATGCTTTGGGAATATCAATTGAGAAGAGACAAGAGTTTTCACAAATTGATACATTTACTTCATTATTTGTCAGTCAGTTGTGTACATATAGATGTCACTTTAAGTTACATAATTGCAAGGACATGAACACATGGTAGCTCATCCCTCTGGCTGAGTGTCTGGGGAAAATTCAAATCCTTTTGTGGTTTCTCTACATTTTCTGATAGCTCCACCCACCCTGGCCACTTCCCCCTGGACCTACTCCCCTTCTCCCCTGCCCTCCCTTCCCTCCGTGATGTGGCAAGGCAGGGAAGGGCCAGTGAAGACAGACTGCAGGTTCACAGCGGCCTGCTGGCCAGGCGTCTGCCGCAGCTGCTTTGGTGTTCTTGCTGGTCTCAGGTAGTGTACACTTTGCCACTTTGAAGAAACTAAATTCCTTGAAGGCAAGGACCAGGGCCTCTTTGTCCCTGGGCATGGAGGGACAGGGGACATGAAGAGCAGTAGCAGTATCTTGGTAGACTGCTGAGCATGAGTCACCCATGGGGGCTCTGGGGCTCCAAGCTGGGACAGGACAAGCTCATGAACAAATCACTAAGACGTGACACAGTGGGTGCTACAACAGAGATGTACAGAGCACTATGGGAAGGGAAGGGGCTGCGCAGAACAGCTTCCTCAGAGGGACATTTATTGGCAGGTACCATATCCTACGTTAGGCACTTCAACTCCATTTTATTTAATCCTCCTCAAGGAGGAAACCAATCTCAAAGGCGAGTCACCAGAAAAGCTGCTGAGCTGGGCTTCAGATCCAGATCTGTCGGCTTCTCAAGCCCACTCGCTTTCCTCTGTGCAAGCGGCCAACTGTGGGGAGATCTGATGTGGGGCTCAGGGAATGGTAGAGAGACCTCCAGAATAAATGAATCACTTTCAGAGCAAAGTAAAATAATAAAAAAACAAAAATGAAAAACACACAAAAGAAACAAAAAAACACCATATTCTCCCCAAATTTCACATCGTGACTAGCTGGAAGAGCAAACATAAAAGATGCTGGAAACATGACCGTGGAGAGAAGAGCTGTCTGAGCGGATGTTAGCTTTTTCCTCCTGATTTCTTGTTCTCTAAGCCAATAGGGCCAAAGAATATTCCAAAACTGCTGCTGCTGACTGGCTCCAGGAGAAGAGAGACCTCTGGATTTTAAATGTCTCTAGGACAGCTTCACTTTGGGCTCTAGAGTCTCAGTTTTGTTTTTTATACTGTAAGATAGAGAGATTAGAAGTGGGTGAGGGAAGCCAGTGGGGAGAGAACTCGGGAAATCTCAAACCCTAGTCACCTAGGTCTCCCCGCCTCCAGCAGAGGCTCCTCAGCAGTGGTGACACCCAGGCAGGAGACACTGGACAGTCCAATCTCTAGTTCATGCCTGGACCCTCTCTTTCATTTAACAGAAAAAGAAGCTGTTGGCCTTGGTTGGGGGCAGGAGGAGGCTCATAATAAAGAAACTGGTAACATTAGAAACGAACATGTGGTCACCCATACTTTGAATCTTGTTTGAGGAAGAAAATTCTCAGGATCTGAGAATTCCTCTGAGAGGAAGACTCTCAGAAATCATAGGATGATCCTCTGCCAATCACTGTTTACAAAAATGGACCCTGAACCCCATATTTGGAGATTCTGAGTTGGAAGGATAGGGAGCTAGGGGCAAACTCCTTCTCTAGGTTGTTTTAACACCATCTACATTCCTGTCTCACTCCCTTCCTCCACCCAACAGATCCCTGAATGATTCCTCAATAATCCTGCCACAGTGTGAGTACCCTGGAGTCCCCAAACAGCTGTCCTCTTGGATCCACCACAGCACTGCTGCCAGCTCTGGCACCACTGCTTCCAAGACAGTTCTCTCCCTTCGCTTAAGTCCCCATTCCAGCTCATTCAGCACTTTTGGCAGAAATCTGCCTTTAAGGATTAAGGGTGAACCCCTCACCCAAACTTGCAGAAAATAAATGCAACCAGAAGAGGAGTAGCTGGTGGGGATGGCCTGAGCACTGGCCCTTCTCAGCTGTGGGGCGGGGGCGACTCCTAGTGGTCACAGTTATCACTGCCCCATTCTCAGGCTGAGGTGGGAACCAAGCACTTACTTTGTTCATGATCCAGTCAGCATCTTCAATGGCTCTTTTAATAATCTGCTGGATTCTCTCAGGGTTGTCTTCATCTGAATGAACTCGGAAACTCTGGAAGTTTCAGCATAAAAAAAAGATAACTAGACAAAATTCACAGTGCCAGCAGCTTCAGAGCACCAGTCCTTGGCCAGATAACACTGCTGGCAGGATACACCCAGCATCTCTTAATCCTCTATGGTTATCATTATCCCACTTAGAGCTGAGGAAACAGGGGCTCAGAAATCCAAATGTGCTGCTAAGCAACAGCATTTGAATCCTAGTCTATTTGATAGCAAAGAGGACAATCCTGGCAGCAGGACAGATGCTTAAAGGACTGACCCTCTGGGCCAGGGGTTATCAGGCAGGCTATCAGGGCTAAAAGGAAACTTCAATCTCTCTGTTGAATTTGCTCCTCACTGAAGCTGCTTTCCTCAGAGTGAGACCTCCTCCTCCCCCACACCAGGAAGAGGGCTTCTCTCTGGAACAGCCAAGCAGGAACAGAAGGCAGTGGAGGAGGTGGTTTTGAGGAATCCAGCCAGGCCCAAGACAGAGCACAGGCTGATGTTGGCTTCAGATCAGTCTGAGATTTGGGTTCACTGGGGTGATTCTCAGGGCCCTTTAGAAAGAACTGGTACCTCCCTTCCCTGTCATTCCCAACCCCACACATTCTCTCTTGAGGAACCACCTCAACTCCCTCCTCTGGAAAGCCCTCCTGACTCCCCCAGATGGCTAACCACTCCCTTCTCTGTGTTCCCACAGCCTTCTGTTGCTACCTCTATATATTTTTTTTAACTTTTCACATTATACTTGTATGAATTCTAATTTTTAAATTTTTTATTTGGAAATGATTTATTACAGAAAGGTTGCAAAAAAAAGTACGAAGAATTCCCTTCCACAATCACTAGTTGTTAACATTTTGCTATATTTGCTTTATTGTTCTTTGTATGTGTATTATAAGGTTTCCCTGGAAGGATTTAAAAGTATCTTGCAGACATTGTGCCCACAAACCCTAAGCACTTCAATGTGCATTTCTTAACAACAAGGGCGTTCTCTTATATAATCATAGTAATCAAATGCAGAAAATTTAACATTTACGCTATTATCTAATGTACAACCCACATTCCAATTTCATGCACTGCTCCAATAATGTCCCTTACAGACATTTTTTTCTGGTCCAGAATCCAATCTGGGATCATGCATTACATTTAGTTCTCACATCTCTTTAGTCTCCTTTAATCCAGGGCAGCTCTGTTTCATGAAATTGACATTTTTTTGGGGGGTGGGAGTTTGCCAGGGATTGAATTCAGGGACACTCAACTACTGAGCCACATCCCCAGCCCTATTTTGTATTTTACCTAGAGACAGGGTCTCACTGGGTCATTTAGTGCCTTGCTTTTGCTGAGATTAACTTTGAACTTGCAATCCTCCTGCCTCAACCTCCAGAGCCACTGGAATGACAGATGTGTGCCACCATGGCCAGCTAAGTTGACATTTTTGATGAGTACAGGCCAGTAGGTTGTCTGGTAGATGGTGGTTTGGGTTTACCTGATATGTTCCTGTGATTAAATTCAGGTTGTGTGCTGTTGGCAAAATGACGTGGTCTACAGTCTATTTCAATTACCCACTGAACCGCCCTATTCATATGCTGGAGCAGAGGTGATATGCTATGAGCAGCCTCGGCCTCCTGGACAGACACCAGAGAGGGGCTGTCTTGCTCAGCATTGTTTCCAGTTTCTCTTGCCAAACTCCAACCCCCACCTGAAAGACTATCCTTCCCCTGGCCTGACTCCCTGCCAGACCCCCACATTAAAGGACCCCCCCTGACACAGTGCATCATGGTTCCCACCTGCCTGACAGCATGTTTGTAATGCTCCTGGATGCCCTTGGTTGGCAGCTGCCGGCAACAACGCAGCAAGTATCGGTAGAGCTGTCGTGGCTTCTGGATCAGCTCTGCCCCAGGTAGCGGGGCCATCCGCAAGACCCTCTTCTGGAAAACAAAAAGCATTCCTTCTTAGGTATCAAGTCAGATCTCTACATGGTTCTGGCCTCTTGGACCCAGCCCTCTGAGAAGCAGGCCTAAGGCAGCACAGAAGCCAGGTCCCCTTCTTGGCCCACTCCCATGGAGCCCACACCCTGGGCTGGGTCTCAACCCTGCTGAAGTCTCAGCCCACGAACAGTCCTGCAAGAATCATAAGCAAGCGTGGAGGGAGATACACAGTCTCATCATTGGTGTCTTTTTTCTGGAGTCCAACTTCAGGTGGCGGATAAGTAGGTGATATTGAGCAGAGGAGGGAAGATAAGCAAGAAGACTCTGAGTGGCAATCGGAGCAACCAGCTCTGATGCTAGCCAGGCACGTCCTAGTGACGGCACCAGGGAAGAGACTGGAGAAGCTACTCAAAACACAGCCCTAGACCAGCAGCAATGGCATTACTCAGAAACTTGTCAGAAATACAGAGTCTGAGGCCAACCAGATTCCTTAGACCAATCTGCATGCTAACAAGATCCCAGCAGATTCATATGCACATTAAAGCTTGAAAAGCATGATTCTAGAAGGCTCTGTATGAAGAAGCAGCTGCACACAGAGTGACCAGGTGAAGTCAGAGCCTGGGCATATGACTTTACTTCACTGTGTGTTGAGTGCTGAGCACTTACCTGTTTGCAATTCATGCATACATTAAAAAACTAAGCACAGAAGTCTGGTAACTTGCCCAAGATCACAGCTGATAAAGGTAAAAACTGAGATTTCAACACTGGCAATCTAGCTCCAGAGCCCATGTTTAAAAAAAACAGCTTTACTGAAGTGTTGTTGACGTACAGTCAAGCGCACACATTTAAAGGGTACCATTCCATAAGTTTTGACCTCAATGCATTCGAGAGAGATCATCACCACAATCAAGAGTGAACATACCCATCATCCCCAGTTGCCTCATGCCTCTTTGTCATCACTGTCGTCCCCACTTTCCCATCCCCAAGCAAATACTGATCTGCTTTCTATCACTGCAGGTTTGTTTGCATTTTCTATAGTCTGTATAAGTGGAACGATACTCCGTGCTCTTTTGGGTCTGTAGAGCCCATATTCTTTTCTTTCTTTTTAATTTAAATTTGTTTTTTAATATATCAAACATAAAAATTTTACAAATGTATAGGGTACCAGTGATATTTCAAAATGTGTATACATTTTGTAATGTTTAAATTGGGTTAAACATGTCTTCCTCCTCACTTATCATTTCTTTATGGTGAAAATATTCAAAATCCTTTCTTCTATAAGACCTATATTTTTAATCTTTGTATTATACATGTCCTCTCCAAAGAACCCACTACCCTAGCCTGAACTTTGTCTTTTTTTTTTTAAGGAAACTAAAAGCATATAAATGTTTTTAAATGGTAGATTCTAGAATGTAAGGGCTAGTTAAACATTCATTAAGAGACTCCCAGCCCACAGCCATGTCCCTCCCTGTTCTCACTGCCCCATTGGCTCAGGCCTGAACTTCTTCCATAGAACTCTGCCTGGTGCCCCTGCCTCCCACGTCACTCCAATCTCCTCCACACTGCCACCAAAGGAGCTCTGGAACCAGTATCCTGGGTACATTACATTCAGCCACAGGAACATCTCCCAGATCCCAAAGCATCACCTCTCAGTACCTTTGTAGACGCAGTCTGCTGAGCTCTATGCTCCCTTTCCCATCTCCTCACTCAGCCTTCCAGATCCAGCTCTTTCCTCCAGGAAGTCCTTCCTGGCACTGTTCCTTCCTGAGGATAGGGGAATCACTCCATGGTGTGTGGGGCTACAGGGCCCTGGTCATAGTGCTGCTGCAGTACTTCCCACTGGGGAATTCATCTGTTGCCAGGCCAGTGGCTCCCACTAGGTGACAGCCTGGCCCAGGTTCCAGTGCAGCCCCTCGCCCACAGCAGTCTTCACACACTGGTTGAGCTGAACTCCAAGAGTCGACTATCTCCTTTGTACAGATTTTCCCTCTCTGAGAGACAGGCTCTCTGTGTTCCAGCTGAAGGAGCTAAACGACAGATTAAGTGAATGATACAAGTTTAAAGTAGTATAAAAAAGAGCAAGACAACCTTCTTATCCACACCCCAGCCAGAGAGAAGCAAATACTAAATCAGATGTCCTTACACTAAGGAAAGAAAGTTATGAAGAAGTTCCTTCAGGGATGGGGATGTGGCTCAAGCGGTGGTGCGCTCACCTGACATGCGTGCTGCCCGGGTTCGATCCTCAGCACCACATACAAACAAAGATGTTGTGTCCGCTGAAAACTTAAAAAAAAAAAAAAAGAAGTTCCTTCACAGCCTCAGCAATTTAGTGAGGCCCTAAACAATTTAGTGAGAACCCTAAAAAAGGGGCTGGGTATGTGGCTCAGTGGTTAAGCAACCCTGGGTTCAATCCTTGGTCTCTTCAGAACATCAGGGTTCAGAAGCTCCTTCATTCCCCTTCCAGCATGTTATCTTCCTGACAACAATACACATCTGTAATTCCTCCTGGTTCCCTCTTGCTCTGACTCTGAAATGGACAGTGGTTGTCTTCCCACCATCCCCTGGAATAGCTTTGTGTGCAACTCAGGATACATCCTTCCACAAGTTTCAGCCCTCCAGACCAATCAGAGCTTTGCATCCATGTGAGCTCAGGGATTGGTTCACAGATTGGTTCACAGCTAGAAGCTAATCCAATCAAAAGTAAAGCTCACCATCTCTGAAGATGAGACTGAAAGGACTCCACCTCTTTCCCACTAGTGTTGATCCTCTCAGGGAAGCCATCTTGCCTCTTACTGAACCCTGACACTGCAGCCTCACCATAGAAGGCAGAGCTGAGACCCTGAGAGAAACCAAGTCCAAAGAACTCATGTGAGCCCTAAAACCATCCACCTGAAGGCACCCCAGTCCTAGACCTCTCAATGATATGAGTCCTTTGCCAAAGCTGCTTGTGCTTGTTGTTTAGTCACTTGCAATCCAAAGAGTCCTAAATGGATGACAGATTCTGACCTCCCAAATTCTGTTTCCATGATGTACTCAGTTGGTTCTAGCTGTAAGGAAGAGTCTAAAAAGGATAAGGTTCCTCAAGTTCCTTCTACTATGAATCAACATCAGTCTGACTAGCCACAGGTAAGCCCAAAAAACAGAGGGGACCCCATACAATGTTGGCCAAGAACTTCAAGGGCAACCATAGAGGACATACAAACAGAGTCCCAAACAAGATGGGCAGATTTCCCTGGCAGGCTTCCCCAAACTATATAAAGTGCTAATCAAATATTGTAAAATGCTAGTCGTGTAACAGATGGTTACCATCTGTAGTCCTCAAAATTAACATTTGGAAAGAGCACAACTTTGTTTCGTTTCTTAAAACCCAAGCAATACTTAGTAACCAACCCAGCAAGTATGGGCGGTAGATTATTTTCAGCTCAATTATAATACTTAGTCATTCTCAGTAATAACTAGTAGAGAATACATGTGTGGGTCCACTTAGAAGAACTAAATTAAAAATGTTTTAATTTAATTTAAAGTGTAGGTTTGTTATTAAGGGGCAATGAACTTCACAGCATCATTGCTAAAACAAGAGTCAAACCCTGTGACCCTGGAAATGCTTGCTTCTCTTCCCTGCCCTTTGGACTTGACCTTTGCTTCCCACCCAGGCTCCTTGCGTCTGTGATGGCATCTTCATTGCCCTGGCAACCAAACTAAAACCATCACAGAGTGAACTTACCTCCTCCTTATCCCTCAATCTCCAATCCACTGGTTTCTAAGTCCTATCAAATTTTACCTCTAATTTTTCCTCAAATTTGTCTCCTCCTCTTGGTTTAGACTCCATGTGTGTATGTGTGTGTGTGTGTGTGTGTGTGCACGCGCATATGTGTTGGTATTTCTGGGGATGGAACCAGAGCCTCACACATACTCAGCCAGCACTCTGCGACTGAGCTACGCTCCCAGACCCCCTTTTTTGAGACATGATCTCATTAAGTTGCCCAGGTTGGCCCTGAACTTGCAATCCTCCTGCCTCAGCCTCCCACACCCAGCTTTGGTTCAGACTTAAATCTCAACTGTGATAGTCCTCAAGCTGGTTTCCCAGCCTTTCAATCCATTTCTCTCATATATTCTCCACCCAACAGCCAGAGTGACTCTTTCTGAAACATAAATCTCAGGGTATCTTATCCCGAGGAAGTTTAACCCTTAATATTCACTCCTACTCCTCATCATTCATGGCAACATTTTCCATTATGTAAGACAAACACCTGAAATTATTTTAAGCAGTATATGGATCACATTTTTTCATTGTAAAGATTTTTATATTTATTTCTATATGTGATGAGGAAAAGCCACAATATCATAGATATTAGGCTTAAAATAGTTTTTAAAGGAATGGGCATAAAATTGATTTTTAAAAATGTACCAAGCAAATAATAATGTGACTGAATAAAAATGTGATTGAAATGTGGATATGTCAGAAATCATAAAAGTGGAACTGAAGTTTAGAAAGCACTGGTCTACAGAATAAAATCCAGACTCCTTTCTGTGGCCTGCAAGGTCCCTTTTGATCTGGCCCCTGCCCATCTCTCATCTGCACCTCAACACTTAGGCCTAATCCAAGCAAACTGAGCCTTAAATGGCACACTCCATGACAGCGCACTTTCTGATTTCCTGTTACGGTATCGGCACTGTCACAGAATACCTGGCATGAAGTATTAGGGGCTCTCCAGAGAAACACAACCAATTGAAGGGTATATGCATTTGTGTGTGTGTGTGTGTGTGTGTGTGTGTGTGTGTGTGTGTGTGATTTGCTACAAGGAATTATAGAGACTAGCAAGTCTGAAATCTGAAGAGCTGACGTCATAGTTCTAGCACAAAGCCTAAAAGTTGCTGTACAACCAGGAAGGACCAGTGTCTCCATACAAAGGCCACCAAGCAAAAGGATTTTTCTTATTTGGGGAAGATTCAGACTTTTCATTCTAGTCAGGACTTTAATAGATTGAATGAGGTCCACTCATATTAAAGGGGGCAAACTGCCTGATCAAATCTACCAATTTAAATCCATAAATGTCTTCGCAGACACACCTAGAATAATGTTCAAATATCTGGGTACCTCACAGCCCAATCAAATTGACCCATATTATCCCTTCCCCAAAACGTCCCATATCTGTTTGCTGAACACCCCCCCCCCCCCCCCCCCCCCGTCCTCCTACAATACTCCTCTGTTTCCTGCAGCTCTCAGTCTTCACTACTCAACTCTGGGTCTGGCACTTCCTCCTGGGAGCCCTCACTCGTCCAGTACCCTGAACCATGTTCAGTGGGATGACCTCAAAAAGCCCTCATCACCCCAAAGTACTCTAGCCCAGGCTCCAGTTCAGGCTCTGGCCTGGATTACTGGAAGGAGATCTACCTGCCCTCAGGGGCCCGCCAGCTGTCCTCCACACAGTGATCACCCTGCTTAACTTCCCCACTGAAAATAATCCCACAACTGACATTAGAGAATGATGTGAATTATTATTAATCATTAATTTTCTTAGAAATAATAATGATGTTATGGTTATGTGCAGAATTCCCTTATTCTTTGGAGATGCAAGTGGGAATTATTTAGAGGTGATGTGTCATCAGATCTGCAACTTATTTTCAAATCGTTGAGCAAAAGTCAACACCGGGAGAGAAG